GCTGAGTTTTGCTGTCGTTGGTTACAGCAAAGAGAGCAGGATGAATGGACAGTACCAGCAGCCCATGGATAGTCTCAACAACGATAACAAGTAAGTGGTCCCTTCTGGGTGTACCCTGAGTGTCCCTGCAGGTGAGCAGAGAGGCCCTCCCAGCGTTTCTTGGGGAGGCAACCTGATTCATAAGTGGTGGTGGCAGACCTCTCGTTCCTTTTGGCCACTGGCCTGCTTCCTGTCTCGCTGTCTGTTGTCCTGTGTTGAAACACCTGAGCCCTCTGTTAGGAAAGGGCTCTTCACGCCCGCGTCATAAACACCCCCTCCTGTCGCCGGGCGGGACCCCTCTCCCACGGCCCTGTGTGTGAGGGAGGCTCAGTCTGGCTGCTGCCGTCCAAGAGAGAAAGCTCAGCATCTGAAATCTGGGCTTCTTGGCCTCTGCCTCTGCTGGCATTGCAATAAAGCCTCTGTTTTTCCTTCACCGTGCTTTTTACTGTTGCTGTGGTAGGAAGAATGAAAGGAGAGCACGGTTACGGTATCTCCTCTGCCTCTGCCGGCATTGCAGTAAAGCCTCTGTTTTTCCTTCACCGTGCTTTTTACTGTTGCTGTGGTAGGAAGAATGAAAGGAGAGCACGGTTACGGTATCTCCTCTGCCTCTGCTGGCATTGCAATAAAGCCTCTGTTTTCCTTCACCGTGCTTTTTACTGTTGCTGTGGTAGGAAGAATGAAAGGAGAGCATGGTTACGGTGTCTCCTCTGCCTCTGCCGGCATTGCAGTAAAGCCTCTGTTTTCCTTCACCGTGCTTTTTACTGTTGCTGTGGTAGGAAGAATGAAAGGAGAGCACGGCTACGGTATCTCCTCTGCCTCTGCCGGCATTGCAGTAAAGCCTCTGTTTTCCTTCACCGTGCTTTTTACTGTTGCTGTGGTAGGAAGAATGAAAGGAGAGCACGGCTACGGTATCTCCTCTGCCTCTGCTGGCATTGCAATAAAGCCTCTGTTTTCCTTCACCGTGCTTTTTACTGTTGCTGTGGTAGGAAGAATGAAAGGAGAGCATGGTTACGGTGTCTCCTCTGCCTCTGCCGGCATTGCAGTAAAGCCTCTGTTTTCCTTCACCGTGCTTTTTACTGTTGCTGTGGTAGGAAGAATGAAAGGAGAGCACGGCTACGGTGTCTCCTCTGCCTCTGCCGGCATTGCAGTAAAGCCTCTGTTTTCCTTCACCGTGCTTTTTACTGTTGCTGTGGTAGGAAGAATGAAAGGAGAGCATGGCTACGGTGTCTCCTCTGCCTCTGCCGGCATTGCAGTAAAGCCTCTGTTTTCCTTCACCGTGCTTTTTACTGTTGCTGTGGTAGGAAGAATGAAAGGAGAGCATGGTTACGGTATCTCCTCTGCCTCTGCCGGCATTGCAGTAAAGCCTCTGTTTTCCTTCGCCGTGCTTTTTACTGTTGCTGTGGTAGGAAGAATGAAAGGAGAGCATGGTTACGGTATCTCCTCTGCCTCTGCCGGCATTGCAGTAAAGCCTCTGTTTTCCTTCACCGTGCTTTTTACTGTTGCTGTGGTAGGAAGAATGAAAGGAGAGCACGGCTACGGTATCTCCTCTGCCTCTGCTGGCATTGCAATAAAGCCTCTGTTTTCCTTCACCGTGCTTTTTACTGTTGCTGTGGTAGGAAGAATGAAAGGAGAGCATGGTTACGGTGTCTCCTCTGCCTCTGCCGGCATTGCAGTAAAGCCTCTGTTTTCCTTCACCGTGCTTTTTACTGTTGCTGTGGTAGGAAGAATGAAAGGAGAGCACGGCTACGGTGTCTCCTCTGCCTCTGCCGGCATTGCAGTAAAGCCTCTGTTTTCCTTCACCGTGCTTTTTACTGTTGCTGTGGTAGGAAGAATGAAAGGAGAGCATGGCTACGGTGTCTCCTCTGCCTCTGCCGGCATTGCAGTAAAGCCTCTGTTTTCCTTCACCGTGCTTTTTACTGTTGCTGTGGTAGGAAGAATGAAAGGAGAGCATGGTTACGGTGTCTCCTCTGCCTCTGCCGGCATTGCAGTAAAGCCTCTGTTTTCCTTCGCCGTGCTTTTTACTGTTGCTGTGGTAGGAAGAATGAAAGGAGAGCATGGCTACGGTGTCTCCTCTGCCTCTGCCGGCATTGCAGTAAAGCCTCTGTTTTCCTTCACCGTGCTTTTTACTGTTGCTGTGGTAGGAAGAATGAAAGGAGAGCACGGCTACGGTGTCTCCTCTGCCTCTGCCGGCATTGCAGTAAAGCCTCTGTTTTCCTTCACCGTGCTTTTTACTGTTGCTGTGGTAGGAAGAATGAAAGGAGAGCACGGCTACGGTGTCTCCTCTGCACGTGGCTCCGGCGGCTCCAGCAGAGCAGCGCGAGGGTTGAGTGGGGCCGGCGGGCGCTCGCTCTCCTCTGCACATTGGCCTTGCTTCCTGCCTGGGCTGTTC